AGGGGGACAAAGCACCCGAAGGCAGGACAAGAAGCAATGGATGGAAGCTCATTGAGGAGAGAAGCAACCTAGAACTAAGGAGAAATTTCCTGGCAATTAGAACCATTAATCAGTGGAACAACTTGCCTCCAGAAGTTGTAAATGCTCCAACACTGGAAGAGATTGGATAACCATTTGTCTGAAGTGACGTAGGGTTTCCTGCCTGAGCAGGGGTTTGGATTAGAAGACCTCCAAGGTCCCTTCCAACTCTGTTATTCTGTAGGCCGCATGAAGCCCTTACTCATTTTTTAAAAATCATTTGAGATGTCTCCAATGTCACACTTCTGACATCTGGCTACAACATTGAACATCAGCACCGACCTTTCCTTCCCCTCCCTTCCCCTCTCTCTCCTCCTCCTCCTTCGCTCTCAAATATAAAATCAAACCTGGAATAATCTTTATATCTTTACTTGGATTAATCCCCCTAAGCTCTCCAGCCTTCTCCAAATGGCAGCAAAAGTAAATCCTGCCCCGATGAGGTCACCACATCCCTGAGATGTCCACTGTGGCCCTTGGAAGTTAAAAGGAAGAGAAAATAAACAAATCCAAGTTCTGTTCTGAGGAAAGGCATCAGGATTTGGCCAGCGCCTGACAGAATGAGATACATTATCTCAAGAAAACAGACAGTTCCTTCTATTTTGCTGGAGGCACATCAACTTGTGACAAAAAGTGGAATTGTCCTTCAACTTGGCTGCTCCTGAACAAGTAGTTGTTATTGAACCTAAGAGGGTAGCTGTAGGTATATCTTCCCTGTCTTCAAACAAGCTTCAAACAAGAATAGCTTGGAAGCCCATCATCCATGTCTTTCTGTTTGGAGCCCTTCCTTCTCTCTCTCTCCATTATGGGCAGCGGAAATATGTTGGAAGTGGAAGAAGGTTAGGCAGAAAAGGCCTAATCTACATGAGATTCTCTGGGAACAGACCCAGGGCCTGTCATAAAAATGTGCATCTCACTGCAGATATGTGTCACTGTAGCCATTCCATGGAAAGCTTTTGCTGGCTCCTTCATTTGCTCGATTGCCTTCAGTAGGCCGCTCCCTGATCTTTCATCAAGCATGGTTTCTGAGCTTTATGTGCTTGTGTGCGTTTATTTGCCCCATCCCTGCCAGAGGGAGAATAAGAAGCTAAGAACCGAAAGTCTTCCGTAGAAGGTGCATTCTCTCTCTCATTTCGGTTTTTGAAAAAGACTGGTGTTTACACGCTTTGTGGGTGTGACTAAACCAGGTGTGAGGCTCTCTTTTTTTCATCTAAGCTAGAGTGATCTTCCTGGAGGACAATTTGGTCTCAAAGGAAAGGGCTTGAAGTAGTAGATCAGATGTGGTATTTATTTATTTTGTTCCCCCATTTGCAGCTAGAGAGCTCAGGTTGTTTCTGTTTATCATGTACCTAAGACAAGTCAAAGGCTTGCGGGACTGTTGATGATCCAACTGCTTAGGATGTGGTTTTTAAATGCTCAGCTTAGCAGCTCTTCTTTTGTCCATGAAATGGGCAGTTTTATGTGTGATGGTTAACAATCATTATCGTCTTCTTTTAATGACCCCGTAATCCCTAGCTGTTTTGACCTAGGCTCCCTTAACAAGCAGGAGGCAGGAATTCATCCCAGCAAAACCTCTTTTATTTACACGACTGTGAATTCCTTTCATTCACAGTCAGCAAACCATTTTTCAAAGGAACATTTATCAACACAGACTTTATCTCGCTTGGCAAGCTGCCACTAACTTGTTTCCAGCCGCAGAACAAGGCAAAACTTGGCACAGAGTCTCTCAGAATCACGGAACAAATGAATTGTTTCCTGCAAAAGCCGACTCCCTGTTTGCTCCTCTTTTACAGTATTTCCTATGGGGGGGGATTGGGGATGGAATGGAGATTTTACAGTATCCTTCCCCTGCCACGCCCACCATGCCATGCCATGCCCACCAAGCCACACCCACAGAACCGGTAGTAAAAAAATTTGAAACCCACCACTGGTGCACATGCCCCGTGGCAGCTCCTCTTTCTGGTCGCGGCCCTGACGAGCACATACACAGTGCTCCCTTTTCAGCACTCGGTGCCACGCGCACGCTCCCTTTTCGGCTCTCGGTGCCGAAAAGGTTCGCCATCACTGCTCTAAATTTTTATGGAGGACTCTTCTGTTAAATCCAAAGCTTTCAGGAACATTTGCATAGAAATCTAGAGCTTTTCAGGTGATCGTATCTCTCTATTTTTAAGAATCATGGGCCTTCAACTTCATTTGCAGGTTGTCTTAAGGATAACAGAAGTACAACATTCGACACTTTTAAAGCACACGTAGTAAAGCAGCAATTGTTCTCCCTTTAGTTTAAAAAAAAAAGATGTAAATTTTTACTTTAATTGCACTTGGAGTTTTCAACTATCAAATGAGTCATTTGTAAGCTGATGAGTAACCAAGCCTTGTATCTACTTTTTTCTCTGACAAGTAGCGGAATTGTAATGTTGTCTCACCCATCACAGCCATCTTTGTAAAATACGATGTTAAGGAAGACTGGGATTCATTGTATTATACATATGTAAATCTTCTGTTTTACCCGTCTCTGGAGAGTGTGAGGAAGACAGGCTCTATTCCCATGCACAACATGTATTAATTGTGAGGTAATAAAGTGCAACTCGCGAAGATCTAAGAACCACTGAAATGCAAAAGTCAAGGCATCATTAAGGGAGCCTGAAAACCCGGCTCAAAAGTTATAATTTAAAATAGACTGTGTTTCAAAGAGCTGGGGATTGGATCTCTTTTGCAAAGGGCACCAAGGTAAAGGTAAAGGTTCCCCTCGGACATATGTGCTAGTCGTTCCTGACTCTAGGGGGCGGTGCTCATCTCCGTTTCAAAGCCAAAGAGCCAGCGCTGTCCGAAGACCTCTCCGTGGTCATGTGGCCAGCATGACTAAACGCCAAAGGTGCACAGAACGCTGTTACCTTCCCACCAATGGTGGTCCCTATTTTTCTACTTGCATTTTTATGTGTTTTCGAACTGCTGGGACAAGGAACTGGAGCTCACCCATTACATGGCACTTAGGATTCGAACCGCTGAACTGCCGACCTTTCAATCAACAAGCACAGCATCTTAGCCACTGAGCCACCATGTCCTTTTAAGAGCACAAAAGCAAGCAAAAAAAAAAAAAAGAAAGATTGATTCATAGATAGCCTTCAAGGGAAAAATTACACTTTCCCAGATGCTCTGCAGAAGAAGAAGGAAAAGGAAGGAAGGTTTACAGGAAGGAAGGTTTACAGGAAGGAAGGAAGGAAGGAAGGAAGGAAGGAAGGAAGGAAGGTTGGTTTACAGGAAGGAAGGAAGG